ATAAAAAAAAAAATAATGGCCGGTAGCGAATCGTGGGTAAGTTATCAGAGTATCACTGCGCCCTGAAGTTAGATGAGTGGTGTGGGTGTAAGTTGAGGTGGGCGTGGCCACCTTAGTGTGGGAGGACAGAAGAGGGGGGGGGGCGGGTGTGGAGAAGGGGAGTGGGGGGGGGGGGGGGGGCAGCTGCCCCCTGGACCTGTTGAATCAGACAAATCAAGTCGGGATGGATTTTTTTTCTTTAGACTCAGATATTTTGATTTTAGTGACTTGCAATTGTTTGCCATTTTCATGGCCGAGAAACTGGTTGGTCCACGGTGTGTGCAAATCAAGCAAAAGGAAGCAAAAGCCCCGATTGAAATTGTCGTGTATATGTACTATTCGGCTAGGTTCACTCTAATTTACAGAGAGTTCCTGTAATGGCACACCAGTAGTGTTTCTTGTGAAAGATCCTTCTCTGCTCTGCGTCGTCTGAAGCTATGGACACGTTGACCGCCGTAGCTGCCTCGCAAGGATGCTTATTCATCGTGGAACCAGACATGCCAACGCCAAAGGATATTTATGAACGAAAATAATCTGGAGACATCTTTTATAGGTTAGTTAGCCAAACATCATGCAGTATTGTGAAATGTTTAGTGTAATAGTGCTTGGATATAAGGTATGTTTCAAATTAACAGGACCTCGGAAATAAGCACTTGTAAGCACTGAAAACACCTGCCTTTTCACACTTATTCATAGACATATCTCATGACAAGTGCTGAAAATGTAAAATAGCGTTTTGGAGCCTCTAACTTGAAAATTTTCTGGGGGAGGATCCCCCTAAAAGGCTCGTGCCTTCGGCACTCGTGGTAATGCCCCATCGTGTGGCCGGTCCCCCCCTTACAAAAACCTAAGTACGGCTCTGTAGCTATAAGAGAAATTTCCGTGAAAACGCCTTGAAACCAACGTGGGAATTTTTGCTTTGTATCATTGTCGTTCAAGTTTTCAAAGACCACGCGTGCAAGGTCGGCCGGCCATGAGTTTTCACCCGGCCATGTACGTGAGGCCCCACGGTTCCCCACCGGTCGATCGACCGAGAGAGACTTCTTATTTAGTGCCCGGTCCCACGCGTCCACGTCCTTTTTCCGTGCCAACTCATTCAAGATGGCGGGCGGTAAGAAACTTACCAAAGAAGATGAAATTTTACTGCAAAATTTCAGCAGAACCGTCTCCACAAAATCTTCTGCTTTGTTCTATGCTAATGCTTTCTTCGTATCGGCCATCCCCTTGTGTAAGTTTATCTTTTCTACATTTTATTTCAGCGTTGAAATAATCACATGCGTACGATTCTTTGTTCGATCGACTCATGGTTTTTTGATGTTTTACTGTTTCAGGGCTGTTTTGGAGGATTCACCAGATGGATCCCTACTCTTCTGGCATCATGTTCGTTGTAATGACCTTGATCAGTACGTGGCTTGTAGCATTTGCGTACAAGAACGTGAAATTTCAACTAAAACACAAGTACGTGGACTACTACTGTAATTCAATACAAAGCAGAGTTAGTATAAATATTTGGTAAACCACCTCTGGATGATTACGTTGCAGTAATTATTGGACGGTTGAGTAGATTTTGTTTCATCAGTGACCTAGTTGATTTCATCAATATAGCTGATACTTTTTTAAGGGTTTATTTCTGATATTTGTGCGAAATAAGTTAGTAAGTCTTTCGTTAGTAAGTCTCTTTTAACAAAAAAAGAGAAAAGCTCTTTTAAATATGAACGTGTACGTTAGTTCCTGCTGCTCTTACTTATAGATAGCAAGTCAAATGCTATAAGATGTCAGTTGTTTTTATTTCATACATTGGTTCTTCTCCTTGTTCATTTGCTTATTCCTAATGTTCACCAGAATTTTTGAAGAACAAGGAACAATTTAAGTAGGTGGCAATTGATTTACAGTGGAGCGTCTATATAACAAAGAGCCAAGGAAATGGCAAAATTTGTTCCCAATAATGAGTATGTGCCACGATTGGCCAGTTCAAAATGATAAGTCCGTTAGGGGCCCCGAATAAGGATGTTGGTGCTACTCTGCAGACTTTTCTAACCGGGGTTAGATTATGACTATAATGCAGGCTATTCTATGATGACTGGACAATGATTTTATCCAGTTGCCAGAGCTTCTGATGAATACCATCGACTGTTTGATGTAATATTATTTCAGGATTGCACAGCGTCGGGATGTCTCAGTGACCAAGGAAGTTAGCATGGAGTTAGATTCTAACAAGAAACTGACCCGCCAAGAAAAGGATGAAAGGTTAGGATGGTGATAATTTTTATTTTCTTGGCATTCATGATTACAATGAAGGAATAGCACACTTTGTTTAGAAGACAAACAGGATACTTGTGTACACTAAGATGTACAGTATTTCCCTTTTTTGTAGTGGACAAAAAGACTTGTGCTCAAACACCATGTCCTTTTTGAATTTGCCTTCTTAAGGAGTTGATAAAAGCAAATTCATATGTTCCACTCTCCCAAGCACTGATGTTTATGTAGAACCACTTTCTTTACTTCGGTTGCAAAAGATGAAGAATGTTTTAGTGCACTATTACATTTGGCTCTCGTTTGTTGGCATGGCGTCTTGACTCAGTCACACAGGAACTGGCCTTCAGCATCAAGTCTGCTTCTCTTTGCTGCCTTTTTAAAGGCTAGTTTTTACAGTAACAGAGCCAAACTTGGCAAAACACGCTCATGCCAGGCTAGGTTTTGCATTTTGTACTTTGTTCACATTTGATAGTGCGTATTTCACACAGAAAAAACTTACCTTGATGGTTCTGTTAGAAATTATTCTAAATTAGTAGCTGGCCGTAAAATACATTTTTAGATCTACTTACTGTGATCAGAAAGGTTACTTGAGTAGATGAAAGCAAAACAGATATAAACTGCTTGCAAAGATCGAAGTGGAACTCAGGTTGGTTCCCAGAGTCCTCTCCTCGTTGTCTTGTTTTCATGTTGTCCACAACAAACATGGTGGCTGTGTTTTTTATCGGTAGATTTTCTGATTATAATCGATGATCGATCTGCTGGATCAGTGCAGTTATTTGTGATGATTGATGAAAAAATCTCAGCTGATTCCCATCACTATCTGTTACAGTGTTTGGCCAGGGAAGGAAAGTCAGTTTTGGGTTAAATGATAAGAAGGTTTGAAAAAAATTAAAGGGGGCTTAAGAAAGTAGCATTTTAACTGTACTGTGTTACTGATGTAAGCTTTTTTGTCTTGTAGGATCCTGTGGAAAAAGAACAAAGTTGCTGAAACAGAGGCCATCTCTTTCTCCATCTTTTATAACAACTCCCTCTACCTGTTTTTGATCCTGATAGCTTCATTTTATGTTCTACGAACATTCAACCCCGCTGCGTATCCTTGAGAGTTTATGTTTATCTTTCAAATTTTGAAATGTTGGTGACGTTGTAAATGGATCCTTATATTTTTGTGCTTACAGAGTTGCGCATTTTGCAAAATTTAAGTTTCTGGTTATCAAGGAATTAGTAATAGCCAATTTTCATTATGATGTCTTTTTACTACTACATGTAAGATCAGAATTTATTTTTTTCTTTCGTATTTAAATTTGTTAATCCTAGTGAGGTTAAAGTAGCAATAGCCCTAATTTGCAAAAGAAAGCAGAACCCTGAAGGATTCTGGTAGTAGCAGGAAAAGAACACGATCGTGCAAACGGCCTATTGCGTAAGTGGCGCCATCATTAAAAACCCTGTTTTATGATTTACGCAACCCATTGGCTGAAATTTTAAATAACTTCCTGGCTTTTTTGTTGTTATTTCACTGTTTTTATTCTCATCATTGTCATCATTTTCATCATCGTTGTCATCATCATCGTCGTCATCATCATCATTATTGTAATGTTTATTCATTTATTGAACATGTGTGGCATTTCCTTAACATAGTTGTAGAAACTATCTCCTCTCCACTGCGCTTGCTGGTGGAGTGCTAGCTCTGTTGTCCACAGGTTCATCAGCGTGAGATATGACACATCAGCAGTCTACAAAGGATCAAAATGGCTTTGCTGTTTTTTCATTTGTCCATTTTAATAAATGAAAAAAACAAACTATTTTATTGCGTGTTTTAATCTTTGTTATCCCTCATAGTGGTCCCACCAAAGAGTCCGTCTTGGAGAGCCTGGGACCAGGCTTCTTGATTGGGAGAATGGGGAAAAATCGGCAATTCTTAGCACCCTTCCCCCAAAATGGCGGGCTTGTTCACAGTTTAAGTTGATACAAGTGGAATCATGTGTGTTTAGTGTTCAACCAAAGAAGTTCAAATTTGTTTCAAACAAACCTGTGCAGAGAAATCACTTAACAATGATCAGAGCTGGAAATAACAGTCAGTCATTGAACAATGTCAGACCAAAATTTTCACTGTGTCCTACAAAACCTACCTACAGGTAGATGTAATGACCAAACAGTTTAATCATGCTGACGTGAACAAACAGTGTGAATGCCAAGGACAATCATTTTGAAACTGAGAAGTTCTCCATTATAGTAGCAAAAATTAGTTGGTTTTTCCGACTAACATGCTTGCCTGTGCTGGCATGTGCCCTTTATGAAAAAAATATTATCTGGATACCTGAAATTTTCTGTCATCTTTATGAAGCAGTTAGTGTCAGCTGAGAGTGCCCACTTTTGGGAAAAATTTACAGCTTAATTAGTTTTTCAAACATAATTTTAAAATATAAATGATAACGCGCAGGGCTAGATGCTTTGAAGAGAGAGAGAGGGATCACTTATTATAGCTCAATATGTAAAAAACCCGACAAGTAAAATATACCTTTTGCTGCCTTTTTGTTCACTGCAATCTATCCTACCAATCACGAGAGCCTTTGATAGCATACTCAGTATTGGGTAATTGGTTTAAACAAATGTGTTGTTGAAAATGAAATTGTACACTACATGGCTGTAATCTTCATTGTCACTTGTAATCATTTCAAAAAAATTTTACTTTCATAAAATGACACAGAGTTTCACAGAATCACAGAGTTTTGGTGCATGCTGGATAAAAAGTGAAATAAAATGCTGTTCTGTATTTGGGGCCAAACAAAAAGACAAAAAAGTAATGAATTTATTTCAAAAAAATAAGTTTGCAACGTTGTGGTCCTAGGAACTTGCACGATGGACACCAGTTACTTAGTTTGCCAGCAAACTAATTTCTAGTTTTGCTTTAAAAATAATGTTGATAAGTTATTTACAAACTTAAGAGGGGCACAGAAGAGAGAAAAGAGGAAAAATGTGCTTTGTGGTGAGATAGAGTGGCTGGAGGGGGGTGGGGGTGGGGGTTTCTAAGGTAGAGAGTTACCTCTCAGAACTATTTTGAGGCACTAAATGTTTCCTGCTTGACAGAAAGAGAGCTTTTAAAGCACTTGAAATGATGCACTCCTCTTTTTCCCCTTACTACAAGATACATATGAAAGAAGATGCAAAATTGTGGATTGGTGGCACAAATTATGCATCTGTTGTTTACTGAAGTTAGGGGGGATTGCTAAAGGAGTGGTTTTTACTGAAAAGCAAGATTCTGCCAATCAAAGCTTCATTTAGCCAATCATAGAGAAGGAGCATATTATGGGCTATCTTTTGTTAGCAGCCCTATGCCAACTCCTTAAAAACCATAGTTGAGGAGAACAAACAATTTGATCAACCTCTCTCCTTACCTTACTGTTTTTTATTATTTGCTTACTGGTTTTAATGAGAATTATCTTTTTTATATTTCAAAGTGCATAACTTTTTACAAAAAAAGTGCGGTGTTTTTTCACTTTTTAAAAGTTTTGTTGCCTGAGAGAATCATGTTTTTTGGACGTGGGTAACGTAAGTTCTCTTCAAAAAGGAAACCCTTTTGTCACGTGAAGGTATGTTAAGAGAAAACAAAAATATATCATTTTCTCTGATATGCTAGAAGAAGAATTCTTAGATTTCCCCTCTAATAACTATTAAAATTTAGTCAGAAATTATTATTTTTTTAATTTTAGTGTTTTCTACAACCAAAAGCTAAAACCATTGCTATGAAGATGGCGCTAAAACTGTTCTCTCAGTTTATGAGTTGATAAGCTATCTATTTTCTCCCTAGTTTCCCTCCCGATCCTGCCGGCGACAAAGACAGCTGCGCAAGTCGTACTCGCCATCTTCGGAAACCGAGAACTTCCATTTTTCGTTCATTGTTTAGTTCCCATTTACAACCGTGATAAAGTGAAATTTATCTTCAACAGCTATGAGTAAAAATGTCCTCCAGCAGTAGTAGAAAAAAGGAGCTAACATCGTCCGCCGACGGCTTAAACGGTAAGACCGCTAGACGTTGTCCATCATATTTGCATGTGATAAACTTACTGCTCAAGGGAATGGTTTGTAGTTAAAATTCTTTTGTTAAATTTTCAAGCGCAATTTAAAGCATGGATTCATAAGCAGCATTTTACAGCCTTGATTTATCAGCAAGTGCTTTGAATTTAAGCGAGAAATGAATTTGTAGCGTGATGTTTGTGTTCAAAGAATTCGCGCGTTCATATGTAAGTTGAATTGCATGACACATGCTATATGTCAGTGTATGACGTGTATGGCCGCTTTTTTATACTCTCTCTTTGGTTAACTGTGATGTTATTTCACTCAGAGGATCCCTTTTTGCCTAACTGTTGTCGATAAACCTTTTTTGTTCTTGTTGGAAGGGAATTTTTCGTCTTTACATGTTGAATTTAAAAGTTCCCGCTGCTCGCGCCGGTCTCGCCGCGCGATAAACCGTGCGGGATTTGGGAAGGAATCGAAAAATCATGGAAGATTTCTTTATTCTTTTTTCCCCAAATAACCCATACACATATAGAAAGAAATCATGTCTTAATGTTTTGACTATAACCAATAAGCCCTGGTTGTTTTAATAGAATTTCCCCTCTGAAAAAAGGATCTGTATTGTAACTTTACAAGCTTTCATTTTATTATAAAAGTTCACTTCACTTTAACAATCCATCGTTAAAAAGATATCAGTTCATTTTAGCCTTAAAATCGCAGTAGAATAATAAAAGTTAAGAAATATAGAAATATATATATTTTGATTCTAGTGACAGAAAATCTTTTACAATGCTTTGTTAAAGGAGGAATGAAACCAAACATTTTTGACTAGTTAAATCATCTTCAGGGTGGTTTTACCAATTGTATATTGTGGTAGTGTTTACACTAGAGCCTAAATAAGCTAAGAAATATTTCAAGACAAGTAAATTTTAAATTCTTCAAGTAAAAGAAAGATTCACACACAACCTATCTTTTTTACTTCAGCTTAACTTAGAGCTATTTTCCCACTCAACATAATTTAGATTATTTAATTAAGATTGCTTGACATGCTTCACCTTTCTCAAAGCTCTAGAAACCGCAAGTTCGCAAAGTCGGTTTTAAGGATGGTTGTCAAGTCACTTGAAACTTTTCTTCAATCGTTTCAACTTTCCAACTTTTAATGAGATGCAAAGTAAAATAATAGCACACCTAGTCTGAGAAAACAGCTGACATTTGGCAACGCTACCACTGGTTTCCCCGCCAAATGACATCTGAGAAGTGAGCGCAGAAATTCCATACTGATGACGCATCACCACCCAGATCTGGGTAGTGATACGTCATCAGTATGGAATTTCTGTGCTCGTTTCTTAAACGTCATTTGGCATGGAAACCAGTGGTAGCGTTGCCAAATGTTGGCCGCTTTTTTAGGCTATCACACACGTATCTTTGGTTAAATAAAACTTAGCTGATAGCAGCTCTTAAGTTTTACTTAACAGCCTAGTGTAAAGACTACTAGTATTCTTATTATTACCACACCCTCTTCTGAAATCACTTCCTAATACATTGTACTTGTCAAATTCTCCTTTGTTATTCCATACAGTCAAACCTTTGTTATTGTGCAAACCTGTATGAGCCAGTCACCCCCTATTAGGTGGTCACTCACCAAAGTTCTGAAAATTATTTCTCTTTACTGTAAAACTAACCTGTATTAAGCAGTCACCTCCATTACAGGGTGTAGTTAAGCAGTTGTGGCCACCTTGTCTGGGGTCCCAAGAGGTTATTTTTCATTGTCTTCACCTCTATTGAATGTTCAATACACTAATAACGCAGTGCATGGCATTTATTGGTCATTTACTGATATTATAAGGAGAAATTTGGCAGTTATGGCTATTGGGGCTTGAAGGGTTAACAAGGGGATCATTTAATTAAGCTGAGGACTGTAAGAAATAACTAGAAGGAACCTGATGAATGGAGGCTACAACAGCATAATAAAGATTAGTATTTCAGTAGTTAAAGGTAACGATTTCCAGGACTTTGCTTGGCAAGATGTGATTGTGTAGTGAAGGGTGAGTATTTAATACAGACCTGTTCATTCAAAATTCTAATTCTTCACATATAAGTTATTTTGGCATTCACAAAAATTGTTTTTGGTTTTAAATTTTCCAAGTAGATGCTGATATTGAGAAACCATCGGCTAAAAAACGGAGGACAGAGGACTCTGGTTCTGTGAAAAACACCCAGAATGGAAAGAAGCGGAAACGAGATGAAGAGAGTGACGTAAGTCCTTTTTATCATTTGCTCTCTGTTGACGCCTTGACAGGTTAAAATTTGGACAAGCAGCATGGCTTTGAAACAGCGATATGAGAGAAGTTAAATGAAATGATGAATATGTGAATTTCATATCTTCTAGCCTGGGTTGCAGGAGCTGAGGGGAGGGTGAGGGAGGGAAAAAGTGAGAGAGGACTGGGGTGAAAAGGAAAGAGATGCCTGCTGTAAGAACCGGCTTTTGTTCATTTATTGCGGCTGCTGGTGTCGGCAAATTTCTGATTGGCTTTGTGGCAACGAGTAACTTATTGACAGATATAAATTGAGAAAGGGTCACCATGCAGGCTTCAAAATGTGTTCTATTGGCATAAGCTTATCAAGATCAAAATTACACTAATCAAGTAGTTACTTCTCATTGAAACTGGAAATAGAAAAAGCCGTAATAGCTTGGTCAGC